TCTTAACGCAATGGGGAAATTTCCGTTGTTACTTTTAAGCATTTGCTTCCTGGTAGCTTTTGGAAAAGGTGAGAAAGTTTCCAATCAACAGAGATTATTTTATATCTTTAATGTCTACAAGTCATAAAAACATCTCATTTAATTAGAGCTTTCATTTTAACATCTCATTAAATTAGAGCTTTCATTTCTACCATCTTATTTAATTAGAGCTTTCAGTTTTACCTCTATGATTCGTTGGTGACAAAGTTCTTGATTTCCAAAAACACAGAGAAAAGATTTTGAAAGAAATATCACTTAAAAGTCAATTTCACTTTCTGCATAAGTTTTTTCAAAATATGTATTTCGTTGCTTAAGGCCAAAAAATATAACTGCTTGGTCATAATGGTTTAGCAATATGTTTCATTCAAAAAGTGTTAATAAATATATATTTAAAAACTTTATCTTACATTATCACTTGATTTGGATCAAAAATATTCGAATAAAATCAGTAAAGATAGCGTCAATATCAGAGCAAGGTTGCTCAAGTTTGTGACCAAAGACCAAGTGAAAAAAATCAAAACTTGCTTGGAGGAGCCATTGTTAAAAAAAAAAAGAAAACAAGATGGGCTCAAACGAGAACTGTTGAAAAGTTGTGTTTGAACAGTCGTAAAGAGACATTCTGCGTTTAAACAGAAGTTTAAAGTGACGTTTTCCATTGACAAGGAATTGTCATTTGTGTCAGCAATTAGTAGGAGGTGAAACAATCGTTAAGTAAATTTTAAGTTTTTCGTTGTTTCAGTGTCTTAACTTTATTGGTGGATTTATTTGTACAAATAAGCGGATACCCTGCAACTGATCAGACATTTCTTTCAAACAAAGCTGATGTTGTTTGCGTATGAGATCAGGTGTTCATATTTCTTTTGTGGCAGTTTTTTGAAATCGTATACATTGCGCAAAGTTGAAAAAAAATTCGTTCCTTTCCGGAAAACAAGAACGATTTTCGTTTATAGTTTATTCTGTTTCTTTTTTTCTTTGAGTAATTTAAAACTAGAGCGTGCAAAGGATCAGCGCCAGCTTTCAATTTTATCAGTTATGAATGCAATTTTGGTGCAATTCTACCTTTTAATTGTGTCAAATAAACCAGCCACAAGTCGACTTTCATTTGATCCTTGGCTTAGCTATCTTCCTCGATCGAACGGAGTTGGAAATCTTTCAGCAACGAAGTCGCGATGATTCTTTTTTCCAGGGGCAAAACCAACAGGGCATGGAGATGTTGACCGTGCAGTATTGTTGAAAAGGACTACTCAAAAGTCTGTGTCAAACTGCCAGCCAAAACGACTGAGTTGCTCGTGGAAACATACAAGGGTCATAAACTGAGCTTTAGTACTGCGCGGAAAGTTCCATTTCAAACTTTTTGAGTACTTTATACTTTGAAACGAGGTCAGCGCGGATAAGTAGGAACTACAATCATGGACAAAAGTGTTGACACATTTGAGCAAAACAAACGGTTTCTATCGGCGTCCTTCCGTAATTTCAAAAAGCATCTTTTTTTCGATAGCCAAACCCCCTCTGCCCCTTTTCAATGTTGAAATACGCTCCGCGGACACTGTCACCTGGTTACAACATTGAAAAGGGGAGAGGGGGTCGAAATGTTAAAATTGGAGATTGAAAAACTCGCCCGTTCAACGAAACAGGTCTTTTTGGGGGAGTGTCTCAACTGCTTTTGTCCATGATTATAGGTTGGAATTAGAAAAATAAAATAAACATTCTGGAGTAATTCTTCTTTTAGAGGGAGGGGGCTTGGGACGTTTTGTCAGTTCTAAATCATGGAAGATTTACTTTCTCTATCTTCTTTTTGTTGGATACTAACACTGTCTTCGATGATATTTCCGCGTGGAAGACCTTTTACAGTGCTGTTTTTGCTTCTGTGAAAAAGGACTTAGGACCTTAGAGTTCTTAGAGGTTAAGGTTTCTTTTCTTCTTATTTTGGCCTCCAGGGAACGCGAATGATGTGCGGCTAACCTCAGAAGATGCCAACAGCTTTTTCAGTCCAGTTAAAAGATTCTTCACCAGTCTTCGCCATGAATGCTATGAGGAGGGATGCGACTTTGAAGAGGTCGAGGAAGTAATGGGCTCCAGCCAAAGAGCGGTATGTCTTCCTTAAATCAAAGTGTAATCTTAATTCGAAACAAATATCAATCTGAACAGGTAGTAAAACAGAAATAATAAACCATTCAGGAAAATTACGATGGATTTTGAACGACGAACTGGGACTGACTAGTTAAGGTCCCGATTATTCTTCAAGCGTCACGGCCAAGGGAGGAATAGAAAAGAGAGTCCCTGACTTTATCTCTCTGGGTATTCTTCTCGAAGTTTGCAAGTTTGTTGATTGTTGAAGTTAACTCCCATACAATAAGTTATCATATTTTCAAAGATTATTGTTTAAGTTTTATCTCTTGGCTCCTAACCGTTGAAGGTCTTAGCTGACAGAGCATCAGGTTCACATGTTGAGAGCTTATACTGTAATGAATGGACAGTGGTAAAGAATCTCGCAGCTCACAAGATATACCAGCTTTTGTTTGCTTTTCTTTTATCTTATGGCATGTTTCTTATTTTGCAGTATGAATATTACTACACTTACACGTGCGCAAAATTTGGCAAAAACTGCAAAGGTTTGTGGTCGTAAAGTCCGTTGAATCAACCCTAAGATTGTTTTATCCTTTACATACCATACAAATAGGCATGTCAGTACCATAACTTAGTTCTTTAGGAAGAAGTCCATGGCGATGGTAGACTTCTGTGCTCATTAACGAATAAAAGCTCTTCGGGAAAAATAGTTAGGTTACGTATTTTTTTATTACAATAAAAGTTATTTCTAAGACCTGAAAACTGAGAAAATACGCCCAGCAATTGACGTGACGAATAAAAGATTAAAATGTCATTTTATAGTTCCTTGTACATACCGAGAAGACTGCAGTGTGGGAGACTGGGGAAGTTGGAGAGGTAACGTTGATGCTCAGACCCCAGGATGTTACAAACAGACAAGGTCCAAACCATTCAACCATCCTCTTCAAACTACGTACAGGCGCTTCAGCTGTGGCGGACTGAACATTGAGTGCCGTCCACCGCCAGTCGAGAAACGACAGCAATGTATGTTATAATAAACTCCAGCTTAGTACGTTTAATAACATAATTAAATATATTTTACCGACATCAGAAAAATTTGTTTTTTTTATATTGTCTTCTTCTTCTTCTTCTTCTTTTACTTCATCTTCTTCTTTTTCTTCTTCTTCTTCTTCTTCTTCGTCTTCTTCTTCTTGTTGTTTTTCTTCTTCTTCTTCTTCTTCTTCTTCTTCTTCTTCTAATTAAGCAAGCTAGTGCCTCTCATGTATGTTTATTCCCACTTATTTTTAATAATTTATAATTTATTTAAGTGAGTTCACATGCAAATGTATATTATTCTAGTTCCACTAATTTATATTCACGCCGCGATAGAACTGTCATTTTTACCTTTATAATGATGTTGGCAATATCGAAACGTCGGACAACTATAGTTTTATAATTTATGATTTGTCTAATTATCAACCCACCTCTTCTAGGACTGAGTTTCTTGTTAAACCTCTTTGGCCCTTCCCTAAAAAGGGAGGTTTCCTGGAGGTTTTACAATATACAATACAACAACGAATGAAATTTCAACTCTAGATATTCACAATGTTCATGTATCATTATTTTCCACACACTGAACTGTGTCCTGGTTCATGGTTAATCTTTTGATCGTGATTATGTTTTATCTCAGGTGTTTGCCGAAAAGCGAATTGTCATCCAGGATCCTGGAAACAATGGACAGGGGACGTTGAAGAAGGTACCTGTGACATGCAGACCAGGATAAGACCTTTTACTTTGACCTGGTCTTTGGAGCAACAAACTGGTTCATGCAGGGGAATGCAAACTACCTGCCCTTCGCCAGAATCTGACTACCGAAAGATGTGTAAGTTTTACAGTGTACCTTTTTCTCAGAGATAGATAACTGATAAAGCTACTTGCTCATTGACAGACTGACTAGTATTGTATGACAGACAGACAGACAGACTGACTGGCCATGGCTTAATGACTGTCTATCTGGAGACCGACCGTCTCTCTTTCTACCTGTCTCTTTGGCTTTCTGTTACTCTGTCTGAATGACGGACTCATTTTTGTTTACTTGTATTTGTTTAATTATCTGACAAACTTGCGATGAAAACACTTCTTAGCTATGTATTCTTTGTTTGTTGTTGTTTTTGTATTTCTTGTTCTTGTTTTTCACAAAGAACTAGAAGTGGTTTTCATTTTTCAGGTAGTTGCTCCAAGGCTGATTGTACATTGGAGGACTGGAGGGAGTGGGAAGGTGCTGTCGAGGAGGGAACTTGTTCCGAGCAAAAGCGAACAAGAGGATATACCATCTTGGTCGTTTACGAATCGCACCTCGATGAGTGCCCCAGCCTACCTCAAGGGTGTCCAAAAGCAGACGAACAGAAGCGTACAATGTGTAAGTCACGAAAACGATAAAAGCTTCATAATTTCGTTTCTGTAAAGTTCCAAGTTAGTTTGACAATCTTTTATTGTCTGTTTTATAAAATACAGGTAGCTGTCAATATGCCACATGCTTTCTTGGCGACTGGTCAGCGTGGGAACCTAAAGAACTGAAAGGAGAACAATGTGGTCAGCAGCAGACACGTAGAAAGACATATTCGCTGACGTTTGCTTATCAGATGCACGCTGACGAGTGTCCGTCTTTGCCACAAACATGCCCGGATGATATAGTCGAGAAAAGAACCCAATGTAAGAGTTCCAGTTACAGATGGTCTTATACATAACCCGTACGCACTCAGTTTTGAAACCAAAATTGTGGTGGGGGTTGAGGAAGCGGAATGATTTTGCAGAAGATGGGCCGAAGAGTCTAGCTAGTTTTGAAGCCACAGCCGCAATTCCTCGAGTTTAAGGGCAGTTTTTATAACTGTTCTACATCTAATGTAAGGGGATATTTGTTGTGGGGCGTTGCTGTGAGTTTGTGACATGGATGCGGAGCCGGTAGCCATCAGGAGTTCGCTAAAAAAACATCGAAATTCACGAAATTAACGGTCGGGAAATACACCCAAAGCGAATCATAAAAAATTCAATACATTGTTCGAGGAAAGACAAGACAGTCAAATTTCAAAAATGAAAATAAATATAGAGTTTGCGGGGCCGGATTGGCATTTTGCTCGAATCGAGCAGAATTATAACGAGGTAGAGAAAAGAAAAGAAGCCAATTGGACCATAATGAAACCCTTACATTATTTTCACTTTTTGTGTATCTGTCTCTCCAAACTTTTTCACATATAGGCAAATGTGCATACAGAGACTCTTGTGACCTTAAACCTTGGAGTGAATGGGAAAAACCGCTGACCGAGGAAGGCTGTCAAGTGCAGACAAGAAAACGACGTTATGTTCATCCTTTGAAATATTCACTGCAAGAAGACTGCAGTGGCTTGTTGACGTCTTGTATAACAGAACCAAAGGAAAGCAGGAATTTCTGTAAGTACTAACATGAGTATACTCAGTAAGAGAAGAATCATCTTACTGCCTTGTAAAAAATTGACTCCATATTTGACATGTCGCGTGTACATTTCTTGTTCAGGTAAATGCAAGCACGTGGTATGTGATCTGGGGGAGTGGTCTGATTGGGGCGGCGCTGTACTGACGTCAGGTCAGTGTGGAAAGGAGGAAAGAAGCAGGAAGTACTCTTCTAAAGAAAAATTCACTTTTGCTGAAACCTGCAATGGGCTTACCACCTCGTGTCCATCAGCCCATGTCGAAACAAGGACAATGTGTAAGTGTTTTTCTTTCATTGTGTTTACCCAAGACATTATACTGTATTGCTTTTGAACAGTTTGCTTGTAGGAACTCATCCCAGAGGGTTCAGGTCTCCGGTTCATCAAATTTCAATCTTCATTACACGTTTAAATTGGGGTTAGAGCTGGAGGGTGAACTGAATAAACTAAAATCGACCAAAAAGATTTTTCTATATTGCCAGGCTAATACTTTGTAAGTACTGGAGTATAGCTTTTTTTCTCTCTGAAAAGTTAATTTTCTTATGAATGATTCTTTTTTGTTTCTTTTAACTTTTTTTCCTTTAATTAAAAACGTGACTGAGTGAACGTTAAATCGCCTCACATCAGGATTAAGGTCTTGAAGTTTACGATGTCTATTGTATTAAAAACTTTCAGTCGTCTCACAACTGATAAATAAATACACACTCTTTTTTGTATAAGTCAGGATATATTTTATAAGAATATCGAGGCTGAAATTTGCGAAATTTTAAAACTATTTTAAGAATAAACCCAAGACTGAGATTTTGAAAAGAGTTTATTTTTGTGTGTTGAAGATTTGTAAATAAAATACAATTGTATGTTTGTAATTAAACTGTATGAAATTCTTCCTTTCTCTAAACGGCAAACTGACTAGTCATAAAGCAACAAAAATAGCACTTAACGTATGTTCGATGCCAATAACATTTCTGCAAGACGCTATGTGTGTTATATCAGGCTTTGATGCCTGCAGGCTGGCTCCAAAATTACTTTGACACCATCCAGACACCAAATACATTCAAAAACAGAAATATCATAGGAAATAAACCAAGAATATTCACAAGAATATTTAAAGCCTAAAATCGGCAGAAAAATAAGAATATTGAGCTTCGGCAAGAGAAACAATATTCTTATGGAAAAAAAGAAAAAGGAAAAGAAAAGAAAAAAAGAGTGTACATCACTTTGACTTACTCTGTTGTTGATTTCAGGCAAATGTCCCTATGTTACCTGTGATATCAGTGATTGGAATACCTGGCAAGGTGAATTACCAGAGGATGGATGTGCACAGCAAATGAGAACCAAAAATGTAACAAAAGAACATCACGAAAAGAGTCAAGCCGAAAGCTGTGAAGGATTACCGACGGAATGCCCAACCGCTCCATCTGAAACAAGGCAATGGTGTAAGAAGACGATAGATTTACCCGCAGTTTATATATTATGTACAAAAAGAAGCTCAACTCTGCACAGCTTTATTTGCATTCCTTCCGACTTAAAATTGGATTAAAAGGAAAGCAATTAATTTTTGCTTTATATTAACCACACAATGCGTAAACTTTACCGAAATGTTCTTCTCTGTCTAGTCCCGTACGAATACTTTACTGGTTTCGCATCACGTTGCTCGAGTTAACCTTTCAAAATAACTATAAACAATCCTTACCTTTCGTCCTTTAAAGATTTGAGTTTTCGTTCTTTAAACATTTGAATTTTCATCTTACCTCCCTCGTTGCATTTTTACGGCTCTTCATGTACCGGTTGCCGACATGCACCCAGTGTAGACAGAAACTACTTGGAAGTTTGTGTGAGATATTTACGTTCTGCATCAGGTAACTGTTCATATCGGGAAGACTGTGTACTCAAAGGCTGGAGTGACTGGTCTGGAAAGATCCCGGATGTGGGATGCGCTATTCAAATGCGAACACGTGACTATAACAAATCAATAGAATGGATTGATAGGGCAACATGTGATGGCCTGGACTCCTGTCCTGCTATCCGCGAGGAGACTCGTACCAAGTGTAAGTGGCAATATTTGATACAGTGCTGTCCAGGTAGTGGACGAGGTTGAGCAAAATATCGTGATTTGTTAGTGGGGAGCAGATGAATTATTTGCTGACGCTGAAGGCTGACGCACTGATAGTTGATCTGCAAGACATTGAAAAATCCCGATATCTAGTAAATAAACCGCTGGTATGTCGGCTGATAATGTTCGCGACTGAGAGATTGCCCGAAAAATGAATATTTGGCCGAGAAGCGAAACTTCGAGGGCAAATGTGAAATATTGAGGACAATCTCTCAGCCAAGGACATTATCAACCGACATACCAGCAAGCCAGAAAGGGGTTCATTTATTTTATAACCCTCCCATTAATTGTAATATCACAATTATACCACTCGTAAACATGGTAAAAAAGCCAGCGGTGATCTGATGCCGAATGCGCGTGATTGACGTAAGCAAGCAATTACGTTTGATTGGTTTAACTAACTTTATTTCCCCTGTGATTGGACCAAAACTTGACAAGCTGTCATGTGAAATTAACTCTCGCAACGCCCCTTATTAGATCAAAAACTCAAAAACTTGATGTACTTTCCGGAAAAGCATTTGCGATGTTACAATCGCTACACTCAACAAAGCAAGTTTGGTTTCCTTCCATGTAATATAAGAGAAAGGAAAATTTGAAACCTTGTACTGACTGTGTTTCTCGACGCAGGCGGGGGTTATTGCGTGATAACTGTCCTGTGAGTTGTCACCACGTGACGTAAAGTAACCAATAAAATCGCGCCAAAATTAATGGGTGGGTTAAAATATGCGATAACCGAGTTCAATAACTGTTTTATCATTCAGAACTAAGTTTCATTACATATTTTAATCACTCTCTGACAGCTCATGGAAGCGATCTGCCCTTTTTCACCCCAGAACGTTGTTTCAGTTACGCATGACCACAATATTATTTGCAGCAAGAGACGCTTAGACGGTACTACGCATGAGCAGACCATTATTCGTAGACAGGTATTTGCAGGTCACGTGGTGGGCTCTTTCCCAATGAAAAGGAAGAAAAAATACATCGAATGATAACGTGGTTTAACTGTAGCGCTAGCTGTTTACAACTGAAAAACTATTAACAAAATTCGAAGAAAGCCTGTGAAATAAAAATTGAATAATTAATGGTAAGGAAAACAAATGGTGACATAAAATATTAATTTTATTGGTTCTGCTTGTGTAGAATCATGAAATGCATGAAATTATCAGAAGAAATTTAAAAAAGCAATATGAATATCTTATTCTTTACATATCGTATTTCTACTATTAGGAAGGCGGGGGGACAAAAATAAGTAACGACATTGTAACCATTGTAGTACACAAATCATATGTTGGAATCCTTTTCTACTATAATCCCTCCGCCCCCCCCCCCCCCTCCCCCCTGAAAACACTTCTTGATCACTGAGATGTTAATAAATCAATAAACTAAAAAAAAAAAAGAAAATTAAATTAATGCGTGCATCTTTGATTTGCAGGTAACTGTAACCAGATAATTTGTTCCTGGGGAAATTGGACAAAGACAAGTTTCAACCCCCAGACTAACTGTTATCTCGAGGCGAGGGTTAAAAACGAGTCCCATGGCTTCAAGAAAGTCGAGCAAGAGGATAACTGTAACGCAATACCAATGGTGTGCAACGACTACGAGAGAGAGGAAAGAGAAGACTGTAAGTCTTAACCATTACAGGACGCACAGGGCTTCTACTGTAAGTACCGCAGAGAATAGTAGGAAATTTTTCTGGCATTCCTTACACACTCTCACTAGGGTTCTTCGTCTTGCGGCCAGGGAAGGCGTCATAATCTGTTTCAGTGACATGTCGATGATATTAACTAGAAAATAAACCAGAAAGGGCCGATGGATTATGAGACAAGCTTTAAAATGAAATTACGATATTAATAGTGCTTTAAAAGTAAATAGTGCGTTCGAGTCATTCCCAACGCTTTCAAATGATGGCGGACTTCACCGACGCCAATAATGTGGAGCAAAACAAGGTCATTATATATCGGATCACGTCTAAACACACGTGAAGAAAGACTTGGGCAGG